GTGGCCCCGTTTGCTCGGGACATTTTTGGACAAACGTTCACTTTTAGAACCGAGGATGGCCCCTTTTTCGTGCGTCTTCGAGATCGTTGTGTAACGACGAACGGCAGTTTTTTTTTTCTCTTCACGCTGGTTCTGCCTGTCACGTGTCGAAACGCTTTTGCCCCGAATTAACTACGATTGTGCGCGATTCGCGACCCACTGGATGCACAATAGCGACGGCTTCGAGGCTGTCCCATTTGCGGGCAAAAAAACAGAACGCGGCCTCGGACGTCCAAATTGTTTACACAGTAAATATTGCCAGGAGGACTCTGACTCGTCTTGTAAAACAAACGTTGCAAAATGCATGTTGGCTCTCTAGTATGTCACCATCGGCTAGGGCTGCGTTCTCTAATCTTTTTTACTCGCGCGATCTCTTAGTCTTATAATACCGTCTATTGTTCCTTCTCTGTAAATGTCATGGATAGATCACTGCAAAATACTTGCTACTTTAATTTCTGATTTCGTTTGATTTGTACGACGATACCAGTCGAATGTTGTGATTATGCAATTGTCGTCGACTATAAACTGTATTTCATAAATTACACCCTCTCCCTTTGGCACCATTGATCATCACAATCTATTATACACAAGGAAGATAAAGAAATTATCCTATCATCGAGGATTTACACTCTCTTGTCTCGTAGTCGGAATGTAATTATCATAACGACGTGCGAAAGAAGAAGTTGTCTGTGAAAAGAGGCGAGCATCAGCATTAGAAAAAGAAGAGCGTACCGTTAGAGGCAACGCAAAACGTTGTGTCTCGAATGTTATTCGAGACGAGATATTACTGCACACGCTTACACCGCCAGACGGAGTTTAGAATCTCGCACGGCGTGAAAGTGTACGGGTTCGTAAAAAGTAAAAGTAAAGAAATTCCGCGGGCTCGTCCGGGATTTGAACCCGGGACCTCTCGCACCCGAAGCGAGAATCATACCCCTAGACCAACGAGCCGACTTGTTTCTCATTGTCTTAACTTTGCAGAAATTTGCGAATCGGTACTCCCGATAGTTCTTATCATCATCGATTACGGTAACGTACCACGTGCCATGTTTCCGCTCAAGCAACATAACGCGTGTAAAACTATTTATCTTTGCATACGCATATAGATGGAAATACGTATGGTTTTATGCGAATAGTTCAAGAATGTGGTGTACTACTATAATACTATTATTTCGGCGCTATTGTGGGGGTTTTTAAGTCGGTTATTTGACTCAAAAGGATCCAGATCTAATCCAAATTCTATACCAATCACGTTTAAATTCGTGTACATCTATATTTTAATAAGAGGCAACATTTGCTGTTAGATCAACGTTTAAGAAGTTTGCGAACCCCTGGTCTAGACGATCGGTCGCCCTAATGATTTCAGGCGGGAAAACGCGATTGCAAAAAGTCTGCGATACGCATTCCTGCGTCTCGTTTCCCTAATTGATCGGCTCCGAACGTACCCGTCGTCTCGGTTTTTGCCCCGCCAGTGAGAATTCCGCGCCACCCTGGGAAGAAACTCGATCAGCAGCGGCGAAAGAAAAAGCTTTAATTAGCTCGTTTGAATGGGGGCCGGGCTGGCGTGTTTCTTGGAGTTGGTGCACGTGGCGCCACCTGTGGTACAAACGTTGCATTCGTGATTAGCGTTGCGATCGCTTGCAAGTACTCGCATCTTTGCTTCGACCAGCAGGAATCTTGCTGCGAGATGATCCTGGACGTGAATTGTCGCAACTCGCAACAAAGTTGAGAAAAGGTCAAAAAGAGATGGACACTTTCATTGTCCGAGACCCACGTGGAAAGGTTTACCACAATCGTGTACTACCTTTATCATTTTTCACCCCTTTTCCTGTCTATAGAAACTGGAATTAATTGTGCACGCGTGACCTTCTCTGTTAATTGATATTGTTATTAGTTCCATGAATTTCATAGCCAAATTTAATAGGAAATTCAAACTAAGTAACGAGAGAGTAGTTAATTAACAATTAATATAACTACGATCACTTTTGTTTAAAAATTCCAAACCTACGTAAGTGTAAAGCTCAAATAGAACGAGTCCTAGCCGATCCGCGATGTGATAAGACCTGAACGGAAGCAGGATCTCTCAGGAAAACGAAAGCTCGAATTTTCCGCAGGGATGTGAGCCACGTTCGCGATAATGGCCGATGACCATTGTTATTCAAGGTAAAACGCCGCGCGTTGTACGCTCGCAGCGAGAAAACGCGCTTTCTTCTTTCCCGCTGGAAAGAATTAACGGAAATTTCCTGGCCGTCGACGCGAACCAAAGCGAGCCGAAAAAATTGCACCCAGATCTCATCCTGGCCGGCGAAATTTTATTGGCGCGTATCAACGCGTGGGCCTGTTTTATTCGTTTTCGGTTTTTTCCCATTCCTTTTTTTTTTTTTTTTTTTCAACGAGCGCGAGGGACGGGCGATTTCGTGCAATAGAACACGGGCACTTTGCGCTCGTAAAGATTAACAAAATGGTCTGTCGTAAAAATGCGAGCGAAGCGACGAAAATCGTGGATATTTTTGCGACAGTTTTTATAACGGTGCGTTTTTACGGCGTGCCCTCTGCCAAGAGGTGCGCATACTTTTTAATTAGAGCTAAGCTCGAGTTTCGGGGACCCTGGGACCGATTAAGCGATTCGACGACCACCATCATTACTTTACGACTGTCCTTTTTCGCACAGAACAAAATAACGCCCCCTATTGTTCCGTGCTGGCCATAAACCGTCTACGCCAGTTCGGGGCCCCAGACGATTCTGGGGAAGGGGAGCTCAGCACACATTTAGCTCTAGGTAAAGCACCGCGTTTTCGTAGAAATCCCCTCAATATTCCAGGAAACAAAAGCGGAACTCCCTGGCGATTGGAGTTACCTCTGGCTAGTCTTCGGAAAAGGGGAGCGAGCTCGTACCTTCCGCAGGCACTCCTGATCAAACTTTCATCTACTCATAAAAAGTGGTTTTACGAGTGTTTTACAAACCGTTTCGCAGTTGGCTGGAGAACGCTAATCTTACCGATGCTTAACATGTAGTTAAATTGACTTTCCTTGGATATTAATGCGTCGGGGTGCGAATATACGCGCGTATGCATGTTTCACAAGTTATTTATACGTAATGTCAATCCAGGCATGATCGTTCTTTAATTACTAGTAAATAGTGTTTACGGTGCTCTTCGGTAATGAATAATTCTTAATTTAATGGCAGCCATGACTAAAGGCATGATCGAAGCTTTTTTGGATTAACAATTTTTTTTTTTGGTGCCGAAGAAAATAATAAATACTATTCGAAACGTTTGTCTACAATTGAGTACAAAATTGATAACTCTAAATATAAATACTAAACGTAGATACAACCTTTTCAAAACTGTTGCTTTCCTTGCTTTTAAATTAGAAAGCTCGTTAATAATTTTATCAGTGTCTACGTTATGACTTTGTATGGAAAGTTACGCTGAGATATAATAACCCTGTTTCCCTTATTAACAACTTGTAATTATCTTTCTGTGCTACTTAGAACCTGAATAATACGAGATTACTATTAATTTTTGTGATGTTTGTTCAAAAATGACTCTGATATCGTTCTAATTATCGTTCCAACCATCGAGTTCGGTTAATTGCACTTTAGCCGTCGGTCATACAACAACACACTCATTACTATTACTAATTGGCATAGGGCAATCGTGTCTCCAGTCTGAGCCGTGTTTATCGATAATCCAGTGAAAATACGAACTTTCCGAAATATGTTCTCCCTCCTCGGGGAACGCGAGTAACACGTTTAGTTTCGTGAAACTAAAATGGAATAAATGAAAGGCGACGGTGGAATGCTTGAACATGCTTCCATATATCACTAACACAAACCCCAAAGCTCTTATCGATCATTAAGATCTCTATGATCTACGAGCAGCCGTGGTTGGATCTTCAAGGACACGTAGCGAGAATTGTGTTACTCTGCGCAAGTACGGGGTATTATTTCTTTAAACTAATTTTAGCACTGATCTGCGCCGTGAGTAATACGAATAGATACTTTGTGCCTTGTTTAGATAAAAAATTAACTACCGACGATAGGAAGAGGCAAGGTTAATCTGCTGTTCAATACGATTTCCACCTACGAGAAATTGATTCCTGGAATGAACTTTACGACAGCGCTATCCGCTGAATCTCGATCTGCCATATTTTGTTCCTTTTTGCGTTGCGATGCAAAGGTGTGAAAAACGTTCGCAAATTTTTGTATCTAACCAAAAACAAATAAATCCAATTCGTGACTTTAAATTTCTACTTTTCCGTTTGGTTATTTTCCACGGTTACGGCATACTCATTTTCATGTCAATTTCTATCTAATGCATCTATTTTTAGTGACCCCATAATCGTTGTTAGGAAAGTTCCTGTTCTGTGTAGCTATCTGTTAAAACCCATCGAAGCCTTGAAAAGCTACGATCAAGTGTCGATGATTCATTAGCAGATAGCCGCATTGCGAAGGAACCTTTCTAATACCCCCTGTAATTTGTTATAGAACACGTCTTAATTAAACAAGATAGATACGTGATTTTCAACCTTGCTCCTCTCTTCGTTTACACAGTCTAAGATTCAGAAATTCGATGAATCTCATTCCCGCGAACGATCCGTAGACGACTGAAAAAGAGTAGCGGAAGAGAAAAGGTCCCCGAAACCGCAGGATCCTTATCGTACGCCGTCAGCCCCGGCGCGCGAACCCGCGTCTCATCGGTCCACGAGATCTCGGAGAGGGTAGGAGGTTCTGTCGAAGGAGGAGGAAGTGAGGCGAAGAGAGGGTAGCGCTTTGAGGCCCCTCCCTTGTGCCCCCTCCCCGTGGCCCCGAGAGGATCCCTCCGGTCGTCCAGCAGGACCCCCCACCAAAGCCATGGCACAGGACCCGCGGCCCACCTGTGCCGCGGATGGACCCTGCACGCTTCTCCGCTGATCCGACGCACAGTGTGCCCATAAGGCCCATTCGAAGTATACTTACGAGAGCGCACGAGCCGTGGCAGCGAACGAACGAGCGCCCCGACCGATCGTCCGACACGAAGTGGGACCGCAGAAAATAATCGGAGGTGGGGGCTGATTCAAGAATCGACGTGGACACCCTCGCCTTCCAAAGTCATTCACCTAACGGTCATCGTCGCGTCAAGAATCTTCTTCTTGTTCTTCTTCTTCTTTCCTCCGTGTATCCTTCCGTTATCCGGTTCGCGGACCCAAAGGATTCGTTTCCTTTTCGCCGGTGTCCTCTTCGGCCAGTGAAGATAAACACTAAGAAATTGGTTCGCCACTATTACAAGCTAACTCTGTTTCTACGATTGGATTGCAACCGAACGGAGTGGATCTGTCTCGCTGTCGAGAACAATCCCAGCAACCGAGAGTGACATTCGAAAGAGGTGAACGCAAGATTCGTCGAGAGGAACCTTCAACCTTCGGACTTGAAGTTTCCCGCGTATACTGACGAGAAGGATTTTCTCTCGATTTGATGGACTGACGACTGATGGACATTCGCGCTTGGCGTGTGTTTTGAGACGATTTCGTCGGGAACGGAGTGTATTCGTCGAAACTGTAAAGACTTTTGGACTGTTCACGGTACCCGACGGTGACAGCGATCGGAGTGATCAGTGTCGCGAATCTGTGATCGCAACGGTTCGGCGATACGTTATGGTGACAAAGTGCTCGATAGTGTGTTTTACCTAAAAGGGGGACTGCTAACGATTGTTTCGTTGATGATTCTCTGGCAACGTTCACCACCGTCGCATTCAAGGTACGTGCTCTTGTTTACGAGGGGCAACGGATCCAAAATTGTGACACCTGTTCCCGAATCTGACACCCGGGGACTTCTAACGCTATCACGCGAATGGCACTGCGCGCAGAGGTGGGCAAAATTTTATTCGAATAATAAATGAATGAAAAGACCGTGTAGTCATTTTTTATATACGTTTGTGTCCATTTACTTCGAACAGTATTTTGTTTTCGACAAGATAGTTCTTTTTTTTTTTGCTAACTTTTGTACAAAGTAAATAAGAAATCATTTTTTTTTACGTATCAGCTTGTTGTTTGTTATTAGCTACGTGTCATTCTACTTCCATTATATTTTATGCATTACTCGGTATTTAATTTCAATTTTAAATAACTTACGTTCCATTCTATTGTTTCGCTACGTATCCACCTTGTTTACTTTCTGATCACGTTTATTTTGTAAACAACTCCTTTACCAAAGGCAAGTAAAATAAATCAATAAATTTGGCCGCCTCTGAACGCTGGTCACGGCACCTGTTCGAACGCGGTCGCGATTTGCCTACGGATCGTTTGTTTCATGGAGCAAGTAAAAATGTATCGCGCACGCCTACGAGCAGACGAATCGAAGGACGCGTGCGTTTCATAATTTCAGCGCGTGTAGCCGACCGATTTCTTTGTCTTTGGTCGTGACACGGAGCGAAAAGCGTCACGGTTGGACAAGATTTCAACGATACACGTCGGGCATGAGAATTCGCGAGAACGATAAGGTCGCCTCTGTTGTCAGCCTTCGGGTGTCCTGATTAGATTAATTATTCAATTCATTAAACGCTACTGAAAGATCGTATCGAGCGCGTGTTCTCGACGATATCGAACACAATGTTCCCAGTGAATTGTTATACAGTTGTGGTATACACTGCCGTGGAATTTTGATACCAATACATTTTATCATGTATATACGACAACCATAACCCATAAACATTCGAGTACTTTTGCCGTTGGACACGAGAATAATAGAATTGCATCGGAAACAAACGGTCCACGTTGCATCGCGCGAAGGCCGATCGTCGGAGCACGCGTTGCGGAACGCCGTTTCGTTTCGAAAGACCGGAAACTGCATTCTGTAAACTGGATCGCGTTACCACCAGAAGATGAGATCGGGTTACGCCAAATCTGAACTAGCGCAACCATCGATTAGCTTAGAACTAAAGTTTCTTATCGATTTTGCCAACGATTTCACCCCGTTCGTCTAAGATAAGACTGAAATTAAGCAACGTGACATTAACTGAGTTATTTTCAAAATATATCTAGAGTACATTATATTAATAATATAATCGAAAAAATAATAGCACGGACAAGACAAAGTATGAACGACCGTAGTTTTTATTACAAACAGTCGAGAATTATGGCTGACAGTGAGCAGTAAAAAAATGACCTGTAGGCCACCCTCGAAATCCGCTCGACAACTTTGCCTCAGCACCCCTGAGCTGTTTTTCGCCAATAAAAAGGCGAATGACGGTCTAGCAGGGCAAAAAATCGGCTCGGAATTTTTTTACAATCTTTAGGGGAGTAGAGGAGGGTCGTAGGTACGCAGCTTGAAGCTTAAAAGACCACTCAAGAGATTTCATATTTTTCAAAAATCCAACGTTGAAAAGTAAACACGAAAAGCGTGGTGTTTATTTCTAATCTTCGTTTAAAATAAGAAAATCACCTGTCTTGAAAACAAATCGCGGAAGTATCATCTGTGAATTATACACAGATGCGTGAAGAATTATCGAATCGAAATGATAAATAACTGTAACGTTCGACTATCGATATAAATAAAAATCAATCAAAAATGTAATAGGAATCGTCCGAGCATAATCCTGAATCTTTGTAAACGGAACCGTGCTTGTCGTGAGAAAAAATTTCTCGTCTCCCTGCTGCCGCCGCCGCGACGAAAGTAACGAGGCGTCGGTCATTTAAAATAGTTCCGCTAAATCAACGTGCGACTTTCACGCGCCATGCAAATGAAGGAAAAAATCCGCTAATTCGAAAGGAACCTCCGTGCCGCGTCTAGACGCCTCGCGTCGCAGGTGAGATCGATCGCGGCTTGCCAAGATCGTCGATCGATGCCATTCTTTTCTCAAAGCGGAAGATCAGAGGCGGTAAGTGTCTTTATCGAGAAGGTCAGCTCTAGAAAGGAGGACAATCGCCGGAGCGGCAACGTAGGAACTTCGATTGATCCCTTTGAACGTTCAAACGTGCTCGACGATTGCACCTTCGCCCCCGTTCGAGTGTCTTTCCATGGAATCAACGATGATCACAAGAGAGCAAACCGATCGCGCTGAAAGTTACGACCAAGCAGTGACTCGTTACGATTCTCACGGCTTGGTCGACTGGCGACCTTCCCACATAACACGGCAGACATAAAAGTTACAGAATTTTATGAATCGTACTCAAACAAAGCACTAGGGTAGCGGGTTACCTTTTTATTGCACAGTTGTCCCCATAGAGAACTCGACAGGGGATAATTTCGGTATACCGCCAACAACGAAGCAAAATAGGATCCTCGCAAAGGAGGGTTGACATTTTCCGTCATCGATGGCGAGGGATCGTTCGAACGAAGCTGGCGTTCGTCAGGAATAATTACCGTCTCGATATTTTCCGATCATTAGCCACGGAGGAGCAGCAATTTTCGTTAAGTAACTCCTAAACACGATCCGCGGACGCAAATGGGAGACGAGCTTAATTAATCAACCGTCTCATTGTGCCCGCGGAGAGGTCGTAATTAAAAGTCATTTATTAAAGGGAACATTAAATCATCTATCATTCTTTTCGCGTCGTCTTATTCTATTAAGCCCCGTAAACTCTCGGTATCAACGACGCGGTTGCGACACGCGATCGTAACAATATACACGGCATAAACGTTGCGGCTCGAACGTGAAACGTTCGAGTATGCAGGCACCCCCTGAATGGCTTACCGGATGCACACCTGCAATCAGTGCAGGTTGCGATACCTCGGGCGCACCGTGAAGAAGTGTTGCTCGACTCCAGCGCTATCGATCCGCCAGCATCTATCGGTAATTAATAGCACAGAACAATCCTTCTGCCGTGCCCGATCTGGACGCGAAGATGCTCGCTCTCCCCCCACCCTTCAAATATCAACGAGGCCTGGAGGCTATATTTAACGAGAATACGTCGTCATTTAAATTCAATTAACCGACGCTCTCTCTTTCTTCCTCTCCGCCCGCTCGATTTCGCGCGGGGCAGCCCGTCGAGGTCCAACGAGCAAACCGCGACGATTGCTTCATCGCACGGATACGCCAGTTTTTCCCCTCGATTCGAAAATGCTCTTTAGCAACGGCTGCTGGCACAATCCCGTGAAGAAGTTGTTTCTTGCTTCGATTCACGTTTCAATTTTTTTTTTTTTTTTTTTTTTTTTTTACCTTCTTAACGACTTCATTCCTTGGATTAATCCAGATATTACCGATGTATTCGTGCCACCTTACAGATCGAATATTCTCTAAAAATCGGCTCAGCACCATTAAAGATAATTATTTTTGTGCCAAACATACATTTGGATAATCAAGATTGCAAACAAAAACAGAATTTAAAGAAAAAGGCGAAGAGGAATGATACTCTATTGCAATCCAACTCGATTCTTAATTTAACGAATACATTGAAGACTACGGACAAGTCCTTGTAAACAAGGTAGCACGAACAATCCATCTCCACCGCATAATCAGCCAACCAGAATATTAGAACAAAGGAGTGGCATCAAGTCGAATCAAACGCAATACTAAGAGTTTTGAGGCTTTTGAGGCCAAGTTGGCACAGCAAGGAGTGCGGCAACACGATGGTCAAACCGCCAAGGTGGATCAAACGTAACGCCAAGATTTCTCAGACCGGATTGCATAGTAAACGCGCGGCAACGCGATGGTCAAACCGCCAAGATGGATCAAACGCGTAACGGCAAGATTTTTCAGGGCAGATTGCACGGTAAATCTAGCTCGCCGACTTGACGATGGGAGAAGCGTACGAATCGTGTGACGACGATAGGAAAGTCGTGGCCGACGAGGAAGCTGAAGCGTCGAGGGAAGAAAGGCTGGAATCGAACGCGGAATTAAAAGTACGCGTAGGCACGTCGAGGCGTCGGGCGTCCGCGAATGAGAAGAGTCAACGACTGTGGGGTGTAGGTCAGGAAAGAGAGACTCCGTTGATCAAACAATCGATGTCTCTTCCATTAGCTGAGATTTACTTTCCCATTTAGCGACAGTCTGTCATCTATGAAAGTCGCCGCAGGTGACACGGCTCACCCGCGGGCTACGTATGTAGGTTACCGCTGTTGTCCCATATTCCAAAGGTTCATTAGGATTCTCGGTGCAGAGACGGTCGTAAAAACTGTATCGGGCAACAGGTAGTTTGACGACCGATGGAAAATCCGTAACGCGTTGCTCGAAATATTATGCAAGGTTGCGCTCTCACCTAAAAGTAGGGTCAAGTTGTTCGACCTAATTCTCGTACTTGCAAGGCGGCCTCAAAGTCACAGAAATTTGATAACTGAAGAATTGACGTGCTCTTATGACCGGTGCATCATTTGGTACTAAACGCTTAACGATGACTTAACGGTACGACGCCTGAGACGTGGTCTCCTAGATATGCCTTGTCGATGGAATCGATGTAAGAAACTATTGCGCTTTGTACCAAGAAACCTACGTATTACCGAGGAAAGTTTATTTTAATATACTAAAGAGGAAAGCAGTCTGGGACCTCTCTAGATCTCCGAGGGGCTCTACATCCACCTAAGCGGCTATGATCGATAAGGCTTCTCTTGCAGATCCTGCTTCAGACGTGGTACAATCAATCCTTTGAACAGTCTCCAATTACATGATATTTATTAGTACGCATCTCATTTGAATAAGTTGTTCAGAATCCACTGAGACAGGATTTGCTAGATCCTTGGTGAAACGCAACGGTATTGCACTTTCTAACAAAACTGGTACTATTACCAAACCATGAACTGATTGTAAGAGCATGCAAATCTTTCAACTATTTTCTTGCGTAAGATTGAGACCTAAGAATTCCGTGATGTATCTTCTGATTTGAAATTTTCAAGTATCGAAGCACCCAGTGCTTGACCAGTAGTTCTTCACGTTGTTCACAGTTTGGGGATACTGGGCCTACTTTTGGCCGTTCAAAAGGAAGAACGAGCCGCGGAACAAAAGCGACGAGGTGTGAAAACGAGACCACGGTCTGTTTTCCGGACGAGCGGCTAAAGAAGGCGAAAGGAATTAGCGAGACAGAAAAAGAATGAAAAAGAGAGAAAGAGCAAGTGCACGGAGGGTTTTCCGCTCGTTGAACGTAACACGCATCGCTTTGCCACGATCCAGCGATTCGCGCAAACCGACGGATTGCGCAACGAGCTTCTTCTCTTTCTCAATCATGCGATCGGTCGTAGGCGCACGATAAGGCTTGCATTGTGATTTCGTCGAACGCTAGAAATATACACACGGCGTTACGCGATTTTGTTGTTTTCCCTCGGTTTCGTCGTTCACCGTAACGGACGCTTGTAATTGTCGCTGGAATTACGAATCCCGGGGCGGAGATTGGCAAAATTATTACGCGCGGCTCATCTGAATCAAAGTTCCGAGTAACTGACTCACACAATGAAGTTTTAAAAAAAGACTGATTTCAAAGATGAAAACTGAGTCCTAGTGTTACCATACTAATACTAGTATAAACACAGATACCCTCGCTCGAAATGAATTGCCCAGTCTACGTGTACACGCTAACGTTTTATCTTTCGATAACAAAACTGTTTCCTGTATTATTCGTAAATTTGTTAGGAGGAAAGCATTCGTTCGTTTATGACAGACATTCAAAGAAAGCCATTATTTTCTGTTGCAGATGAACCAACAGTGCAAGGTGTGCGGTGAGCCCGCGGCCGGCTTCCACTTTGGTGCATTCACCTGCGAGGGCTGCAAGGTGAGTCTACTCCCGCATTTTATTTTTTTACGGGTAAATAAAGCGAAACTCATTTCTCTGAACTCGAGAGCAAGCTCGACTGTTAATCGTGTCACTGTCGAAATAGCCTTTCTTTCGATGTTCTGGACGATACGATAGGAACGATAAATGGCAGCGGTTAAGAAGAAAAAACGTAATTTCTGTTGAATTTTCCCGTGCGCTTTTTCCTTTTTTTTTCCGTCAAACACGAGTCACTAACGGCGATCTTTTCCGCGATTTCGTAAAACTGAGAAACGCTGATCGCTTTCACGAACCGCTTCGTGGCCGAGGTTAAACGTTTGACTAGGCATGCGTGTCAACCGAGCTCCCGAAAGCAACCGCATTTGGTGAAGCCATTCGACGATCGTTGCGCAAAATAACAAAGTTTCAAGCTTGTCGGAGTGCACTTTTCATCTCGCAAACTTCCAGGCTTGATCGCATTATTTCGAATCTTGCGATTCTCAACGGGACGTTCCTATTGATTTGATCGAATAAATGTCTGAAATAGATAAACGTGTATTCTCTCCGCGATATCGAGGACCTACACCTGGACGAGGTGATATCCGAGCAACAAGGTTCCGCGTCTCGCGTACGGGCCGCGAGTCGAGCGTAAAAGCGAACGTTGCCGTGGGGAGCAGGTGAGAAGGGGGAGCTGACATGCTACGGTGGGCCTGAAAACGAAAATAACGAAACGAAACAATGTCGAGCTGACGTAACGGTGAACTAGGGCGGAAACAATTGTGGCAGACAAGTGCGAAGCGCCGGAAGCACCGCCTCGGAGCGGGGGACCGTGGATCACGAACAGGCGAATTGACGAAACGTGCACGTGCTCGCGCTGCCACAATGTCTTCGCGTAGATCTGTCCCACGATTTCGTGTCCGTATTAGAAGGTGAAACTTTGAAGAGCGCGGCCACGAGGATCCTTGGCGTCGAAGCTCGACCGAGCGATTCGCGGTTTATCGTGTGCCAGCGTGAAAAAGCAGAAAACCAGCGGAAACGATACAATGGTTCGTTATACGTCCATTGAGAACGAATTTCAGCCTGTCTCGGTTCTTTTTTATTCGCTCTTCTCTTCTGGCGTGAGTCAGAGATACGCTTCTTAACGCCAAGAAAGTTCACCGTGGCGTAATTAGCCGGTCTATTTATCGGCGGGTCAGAGTTTTCGAAAGGAAACCGTAACAATCGCTGGAAGGTTCAACGATGAAAAGACGCGACGGCGATGTTTCAAAGTGGAGCCGTTTGCATAACTCCCGGCGTGTGCTCTATGCCGAGGAGGGGGCACGCCAGAGGCATGTAATAACGGTAGCATTTTCTCGATTGTGTCATCGCTCCTGAAGCGTCGCGCGTATTCCCGTAGCTGTCCCCTTGCCTATAACTAGGCCGACATTAGACGCTGATCTCCGCGAGGAAACATTGATTTCGCGCATCGAGACCACTGTGCCACTGGAAGAGCTCGTTTTCGGAACAAACGAACCAGATACGATTAATAATATGGTGTGCGTACGAGCAGAAAAAGCGAAAGTGGACGTGCGTCGGTCGCGTCCTCCGTTCAAAGGCTAATCATTACACAGCGAAGGGCGACATTTTCCATCGGGTTGCGCAGGAAGCTGTAGGTGTTTCGGAGCAATCGAGGAGTTTAAATGCATAGTTCGGGCCACGAGGCTGATTCGATGTCTGTTATAAGGAACGAGGTCTTAAATTGTACGCGTTTCGTAAGACTCTGTCGACCTGTTTCGCTCTCTTGCTCGAACGACGCCAACGTAGTTCGAATAACTCGGTGCGAATGATTCTGTCGAAACGAAAAACATTTTTCGATGAATGGAATTGGTAAAAGCATCTAAGGCCTTTTCGAAACAAAGGTTCGTTTGTCATAGTCAATAGTCCCAGACTATTTCATTGAAAGCAACGCATTTCTTTTAAAAAACTGTTTACTATAGACGCGCTATCAACGACTGTTGCAATTACCTTACATGGTAGACACGCTTAGGTGTAATCAGATAGAAATGACGCGAGGATATACGTACGCGAATGAAAGGGGACTCTCTAGCTCGAACACGAAAGCCAGTGGTGTCGGAATCACGAAATTGCACCATTTGGGCAATTAGCGCGAGCACAGTAGGCCGCACGCGCCCACACCGGTTGGTTCCCCGTCGTACAACATGAATGAGACAACGAGAGCACGCTGTTGCGGACTAACGACTTTGCTGTACTCGTTACGAGCGTTACACGAACGCTATACAGTCGCTGCACATCCTCTAGCGAAACCTTTCAACTCTCAATTTACATTTGAACCGAAGCTTCCTAACAAAAAATTCTCTGCTCGTGCAACGCGTATTGATAATTAACGATTACGATTGCCTAGTATTGCGTAAGGCATCGGGTAGTTCTCTACTTCGAAATTATTAAGAGTACCACGCTAGGAATTGTTCCTCAAATTTGTAATTCAAATTACTCCGTAATAACAAACAATTTCCTTTGTTTGTTTCAGTCTTTCTTTGGGAGATCCTACAACAATCTGAGCAGCATCTCGGAGTGCAAAAATGGCGGCGAGTGCGTGATCAACAAGAAAAACCGTACCGCTTGCAAAGCTTGCCGCTTGAGGAAATGTCTCCTCGTGGGCATGTCGAAGTCGGGCTCGCGATACGGTCGCAGGTCCAACTGGTTCAAAATCCACTGTCTGCTGCAAGAGCAACAACAGCAGCAACAACAACAACAGCAGCAACAACAGCACCACTACCAGCAAAGCCTACCGAGTCAACAACTGGCGCAACAACAACGAAAGCCGATGAGCCCGCCTATCGGAATTCACGCTGGTCAACGAAAGGACGACGTGCTGATGCTGGGTCTGGACGACTACAAGAACTCGACATCGCCCAGCATCAGCTCGCCGGAATCGCACAACAGCGACAGTTCCGTGGAGATATCTGAGAGACGAGCAGCCTTCTCCGGACACCCTGGCTTCAGACCGCTGCACTCGCACCTGCAGCCTTCCGTGGCCGATCTCTCGGCCCTTAGCAAAGAGATGATGAGCCTACCGCTAGGTTTTCACCTTGGTGGCATGTCCCTGATACCACCAGCTTTTCTACCACCTCCAAGTCTCACCATGTTCTCACCCTACCATCTCTACGCGACATCTCACGGAGCTTCTCACCCGTTGGTACCAAATCACCCGTCTACTCTACTTCGACACTCACCCGTGATCGAGGACACCACCAGCGCGATTTCCGCCACAACGACGACGACCACCACCACCACGATCAGCCTCGACAACAAGGAGTCCTGCGAGAATAACAACAACAACAACAACGACAGATACGCGCACAACCACAACGTGCAGACATCCAGGCAAAGTTCCTCACCGTGTGTGGATGTCGGTGAAACCTATACCAAGCGATTCTATTTGGACGCGGTGTTGAAGAGCCAACGAACGCACGCGGCGAGTTCACCGATGTCCGTCAAGGGACGTTCCGAAAATGGATCTCCTGTTTGCAGTCCAGCAGCGGAAACGGACTGTCTCCCTCCCCAAGACAACCCCATGGACTTGTCCATGAAGTCCGTCACGACGCCCGCTAGAGACGAAACGGAGGACGACGAAATCGACATGGAGAGCATCAGCGATCGAGACAGCCCTCCGCCGAAAAGGAAACCCGCGCCTATAGACCTAACGACGAGGTCCTAGAAGGAACAGAACTTTCAACCAGCGTCCAACTACGCGAGTATTTCACTCGAGATCCATCGATTCGCGTTGCTTCGCGCCTGTAGCCATACGATTCCCTGTTTTTCTCGAACTCGGCGGGTACTCGATGGTCGCGCAACGATTCCCAGAACCGTGCGTTATCCTTAACTGCATTCTTGCCCGATCAGGAATTACCCGATCGTTCTCACGGAGACAAATCATTCGCGCCCGAATCGTTAAATGCGCTTGGCTAGAGCGCAATCTCGCGTAAATATCCGTGGCGGTTGGGAAGAATGAAGGATTAACGTCTCAATTCCGGGTAATCACGGTGAGGATCGCGAGTCGCCGATCGATGGCTGGTTGCGCAAAAGCCAATCGACTTTAACGAGAGTCCTCCGCTTTAATTAACGAGCGCGCGCTCGCGCGGTAATCGCACAAGAGAGGAAGAAAGAGAGAAGGAGAAGACGCGTTCGCAGAAGAGGGAGAACAACATCGGTGCATCGGTTGATAAACACGTCAAACTGCGGGGTGCACGTGTTCGGAACGTGCGTTACAAACCGGCGTACACGTGTAGAACGTTGCCAACCGCTTTATCTTACAAGCGTTCGACGCCTGCCAATGTAAACGCCTCCGTCGCCGCCACTCCGCCGCCTCTTCTCTGCTTTTGTCCCAAGCGTATTTGCCCTCGACGCCGCGAAGAATCTCCGCCGATATGAGAATCGCGACCTGTCCACCCCCTACCCCGACCCCGACCCCCCTCCCTTTGGCCGTATCCGCTGGAATCCATGACGAATCTCGCGATTACGGAGAGCACGGGGATTTCGGGTGAAATTCCTGTGCTCCTACTCACGGACCGACGGGATCCTTCCTGGTAAACGCCTGGACGATACTTTCTCAGCCGTTGAGACCGAACCTAGACGCTTCGAACACAGATTTGCTTTTAGCACGCTGAACAGACCATCCAAGGCTCGCTCAATTCGGAGAGGAACATTTCAGAGGCCTCCACGCCCTTTTAAAAGTCCCCGGTATGTTAAGAAGTCTTTCTTTTTATAATAAGCAATAATTTTCAATGCGAAGAGTTAGTAGTGCTGAGTTTCATCCCCAGAAGAATTTAGATTTCTATAAATTTGAGGCTGATTTACCCTGTGATAGGGCCTGCCTTTGAAATATCCTAGCCGAGATCTCCTTGACTCTTGTTTCTAGCAAGAGAGTGATCCATGACAATTTCGATACAACGAATAATGTACAGTATTCAACGTCCCACCCCAGAGCGTTAACGAAATCAACAATCGTGTCGTTAAACAGGATAAATCAATAACTTCGTCCACTTTGAATGTTTCTGTTATTTATTCAAAAACTGAAAGAAGATTTAAAAAATATAGTGTTTCGTTAAAGAAAACCATTGATGACCTTGAAATCTCGTAAAAAATGACCTTGGAAAAAATTATGTTCTGCCGCTATAAGTGCTCCTCGAAACAGTGCAAGTTCGTCGTGATAAATTTCATCACTGCATTACAACTAACGGAAATATTCAAGATGACAAAGTTATTGTCTTCACCCTAAGTATACTCGAATCTACGATTGTTGTATGTATATAGAGACTGTAAATATGTATGTTTTCTTAAGATATTCTTGTTAAGCGTAACGTCGAACGCGTCCCTTATTTTTTACACCGTTGCAAGCATCGCGACGAAGGCGATGTTAGCGATTTCATGTACACTTATGCTTTGTTAGGTATTCTTGTTATCGAAGGATTATCGAGGTAGTCAATAAATGGCCAGTATTTTATTTTATGGTTAATAATTGTTGATCGTATTTAGGTAGCGACCTCGGACACGTGCAATTGTAGATGTATTCTATTTAATTCGATTCCCAGTTGCGTGTGGGTGCGAATCACGGGGCACTTCATCTTGTACCGAAATATCACGTATTAGCGAATAAGGCGGGGACAAAAGTGTAAATGTTAAATAAGTAGGCAAGATTTTTCTGCGCGAACGGGACCCGGGCCAGTACTTACTTGTACATAGAATAACGAATTGCATCGTTCAAACTGATTAGAGGATCGCGAGGAAAACATACCAAACGTTGAGAAAAAAAACAAAACGAAAAAGGGAATCCTGCAATTATCTTGAACGGTGTATTTCGCGATTTTAAACGATTATGTAAATCGATCGATGATTGCGGTATTTTTGCCGCGACAACGAATTTTATGAATACAAATATATTATTGATACACTTAATATAATTCTCGGCGTCCACGTTACTGAAACTATGCTTCAGATTGATATACCAACTATAAAGCCATGCTGTTCCGCAAGTAAAGTACAAACCCACCAATCCCTGGGCCCTATATTTGTAAATACATAGGTCGAAAAACATACGTGTTACTTGTGTTTCTTAGTGTCGTCGCTGGTGCTAGCATTCAGGCTGGCCATCGTCGGTCGAAATGTGCAGTTTACAGGCGAACACCTCCTCGTAACGACACCGTGAGAACCTGCAATGCATCGACCATTAAATTGTAGAATTAGCGATTCCTTAGACTTACGGAAGCCACTCACTGCCACGTTGAACTAGTTAACGCATGAAACTAGGCCGAGCTATCGTACGGAGTGCTTTTTCGTTTGTACAAATTAACGCAACGTTAGCGAGGATATTTCTTTTCAAACGGAATTTAACGCGAAATTCGACAAATATCGTTGAAAGATATTCGATTTTGTTACATTTGATAAATTTATATGCTCGCAAGACTCGATAACACTTGAATGGATAATTAGCAGTAATTGGAAACTGAAGAATAAAGATTTTACTTTTGATAACAAACCTTGATGCAGATGAATTCACGATAATTCTCATGTTTGACGATCTTTCGAAATGGAGGGAAGATGACGACGCTGACACACGACCCTTTAACATAAATATTCGTACTGAATATACGTACATGTACGGAGAATAAATTCTCCCCAGAGTGCGTGTACACTCGCAGTCCACGCGAAGGATATTAACGATTTGCGTTGAAATATCAGTTACTTTAGATGAAACGTGTTCTTGTCGTTTCGTTAGTTGTACATTTTCGCGCGAAAGTAGTTCCCTCATGGAATACGAAACGCGGTTTCACGCGAGTACGCTAACCTACACGATTTTTCGCAATATCCTTGCACGAGGACCGCAAATATTACGTGCAGTGGGTAAACTAAAGTCAATATTCATAGTTATTGCATAACTTACCTGTAGAAACGACGTCTGCCCATGTATAAATAGTCAAACTTGCGAATAATTCGGAGTGTAACGTTCCGCGTCTTGATTTTTCGTAGCTACCACAAACGCTGGAACGCGGAATCGGAATAGAACGCCTCTAAGTGAGCAAGCAATTTGGCGGGCAATTACGAAAGATGAACTGATTTTTCAATATTCATTATTACGATAAAGATGTAACAAAAAATATTCACGTAATTATACCTTGGAGAAAATATTCTACAAATAATATCTCCGATAATTACATTATTACAATAGTTCATTTATTCATTCTTACTGGTAAGGGCGTTCTTATGAATATCTGCATTAATCTGAATCGGAACACTCCAGGCGGAACATTTGTGAACTACCGTGGCATATAATTAATTAGCAAATATTCACCGAATCGTCACAGGTAGCAGAAAGAAATTTAAATTTTGGCTAACGGTAAGTAGAATAAGCACGATCTTACTTATCGAACTTACATCCGTGTCATCGGCGCCTTTGATAGTCTAATGCGTATTCAGTAGTTCGCATTTTTCCGTGGATTTTCACATTTCACGTTTACTTTCGAACGCGCCACTGTAATACAGATTAGATTTCGAAGCTATCCGTTCACATAGTAATTTACCACGCGAATTAACGAGTTTCTTGAGAATCGATTTGTGTACCGAAGCGTATCAGACGTTCGACACGCAGAACACGTACTTTTGTTTGGCATACTTTATTTCCGTCGAGTGCCAAAGTCTTTAATTGCAAGCCCCTATCGGTCGATTTCAATCGCCTCCTCGTTAACGTAAACGGAGCCAATCGCATCAAATTAACATACCAATTAAATCTGCATCGTGTGAAAATACCAATGGCAACTGAAAATACCTAATAACTCGTTTATGTTTATTCTGAATAGTACAAAACTTTCTGCATAATATAATCTGTGCGAATATAAAATTTACTTCAATTATGAACCGAACAACAAATTGCACTCCTATGTTTTAATTCTTAATAGTACACTTCCATTTTATGTTGTACTCGCATAATTATATATGTACAATCTTATGGAATGAGAAATATTTATTTATTATTAATGAGTCGATTTGGAAACTGAATGGCTCGGTGTAAAAACTTCGTAATCAACTACAGAAAAGTGGTAGTCTCCCATGAGTACAGTATTGGAAGCATGTTCGCCATCGTAGCTGTGAGGAAGATTGCTGTAACTTTCCATATTCACATTGCAATTACTAGAAATAAGTAAATCAGCTCCAGCTCCAAAAATTGGTCCGATACTGTAATGGTATTACAAAGTTGATGTAGTTGTATACAATTATATCTATTTAGATTTGTTAAAGAAGTAGTGATATTTACTCTGGATGATAGCAAATTGCAAATGGTTTCTTCACAATGTCATATTTCGTTGGAGGTACATCTTGATTGTTTGTTAAAGTAAAGAGGAAAGCTTTTTCTGAAAAGATGTAGTGAGTTTTAGCATTCGTCTTGCCCCATGGTGCATCACTGAAACCACCACAAATTTCTCCTCGAGTTCCCTAAAAAATCGTATCGTCTTATTTTTTATCTTAATTCTAATAATCTTAGACTTACATACCAGTGCAATTACATATGTTGGGCAAATTCCGTCACAATGTCGATGAAATGACGGTGCAGAGTAACCATGACTAGAGGCTCTGTAAACGACAAGAATAATTAGTATATTATAAAACAGAACAGAATAAGTATATAATATTAAATAAAAGTAAACTTTCTTGTTTTAATTCGTATACATTACACGTACCGATACACTAAACGCCAACTTTGCTTTGGTGATCCGTACCATTGATTCAGGAGACGTTGAAAACCCATCTTATCGCGAGATAAAATTTGTGACCCAGGAAAGAGAAACGGACTTACTCTTGGCTGTAACCGCTTATCCGAACAAATTTCTGCGTATTTGTTGGGTAAAGCTGCATATCTATACCTAAAACAAAACGTAAAAATCGAAAGCCTTCAAGAAAAACAAAACTTCCTGGCAAACCGTACCTTATGAATTTCGAGCCACTTGATCGATCGGGATTGAAAAATTCGTACCTCTCCAAGGATAACTCTATAGGCACTGCTCCGGTTGGTTCTACTTCCTCTGCAAAGACCTGGCTGTCGATCAGCAGCAGGCGAACATGATTTATCACTCCTGATAAATGTTGGCAAACCCTCACGCGCTCCTCCTCTGTCCAGTGTTGAGTAGGCTGCGTCACCCCTGCCTAGGAGTGTGGTCCGTACGGTTAAGCGTTCCTTAACTCGTAATTCTAAATTCCGATCCAAGAACCTAAGGACCCAAGGACCCGGTAATAATCGTATGTGACATAAGGTCTAAGACCTTGCACGACATACGCATGGTCAGAGCATTAAGTCTTCTTGGAATTCAAGGAATTCAAAGTACTCGGAAACGGAATATAATTTTAAATGAAAAAGAACCTGGTATTTAGCCCAATTTAGAACTGCTCTCCAAACGTCTTCTTCCTCCAACCCCAAGTAGTCTGATGATATAAGCTTCACAAGTGCATCCTTTGGAAGATTGCAAAATGCTGTTGTTTTAACCGTGTCAACAGCATTTTCTCCAATGAAAGCAAAACATCTTTCAATAAAGGATGAGCAAGCTCCTTTACCACCTGTGGTAACAAAAAGTATTAAATTACTCATAAGGAATCATTAATATTGAAATATATTCTTACAAACAATACTTAACTTTTATCAATCCTAAAGTTCTATTGAGTTTACTTTAATTATAACATAAATTATGTGATAAACATGTGATCAGGAGGTAAATTAATAACTATTAATAAAGTATAAGTTAGGATTCAAAAATATTTATTAAACATAAGATAATCAAAGTTATTGTATCTATTACATTAATTGTTTATCATGTAATATTTACATCCATAGATTTCGTAAAAGATAAACAGTAGTATAAAATTGTGTCATCTGCACAAGCACAACATACATCGCACAGTTCTACGATATTTTAAATTGTTCGAAAAGTACAGGATTACGATAATAATTTCATCTTTCGATCCAGAATACTGATACAACAGCGATGTTTACAATTACATTTGTAGGAAATTATTGTTTACTCCGAGTGTTCTGAATGACACAAGACATTTACAACTCTTAAGACCTAATTTTGTCCTCGTCGAATGTTTTCGTGTCACATGTTGTTTACAGTCCACACACGCAATGTTCACGAGAAGTAGAAGAGAATAAAGTTTATCATTCATCCTAGAATGTCCTCCGAGGTTATGTTTTCGTATTTAATTCACCCCTGGATTCGTATTTTGTATTAATGTTATGTTGTCGCCTTTTAGCATGATCCTTCCAAGAGGTTTTCTGTTTTTCGTCTTCATATGATATTCCTCCGCATCGTCGAGCACCAAGTTCATATATTCGTCGAAACCAACAATGTGTCCTTCGATTCGAAGGTTTATGTTCTCAAATAACCAAACTTGCACACGCGAACGGTTTTGCAAGTATCGAAATATAAGGTTGATGGGTTGTACCATCACCTTTTGAACTTTTTGCGGTCCTTTGTACGACATTTTTGTTAGTTTTCAAAAATTAGCAGTCCACGTTTGATAAACGCGTGCTTCGTTAATACCGTACGGCGGAAAGTGTGGCGTCGTAGTCATACCAATTGTTCCTTCTAGTTTTTTTAATCCGTTTCTTAAATTATATATTTAAAAATAATCGCAGGTTTTGCAAACTTTTAACCAATATTATAAGATCGAGAAGAAAATAAATACTCAAAATTGCGTTTTATAAAATTTAACACGAGTAACGAAAAGTTTAAATAGGGAGAAAAGTTAGGATGTTGGTACCTCTGAGAACGTAAAATGTACCGATAACGTGCTGCCTCTACGAGAGGTACGCCGATTACGGTGAATACCACGGTCGGTAAATTACCGAACAAGTTAAAATGAAACTTTTTAAATGTAAAATATTTAAAGTAAGGAATTTTCTTGTATTTGCAAAAGCAAAGTAATTTTATATTTTAAGTCATTTAAATCCTAGGATCGATATTTACAAACAATAATTTAGAAACGAAGTAAGAAGGTATGCAAATGTGAAAAGAAATAGTTTGCTATACTCCAAATTTATTATTTCTTCAAAATCTCTATACCCTGCATTTACAATATTAAATTATTCGTCCGTTTCCCGAGCAATTCAAATTCCATGCTCAGCGTTCGTTTAGTATAATCAGCAAGTTTGACGGTGGAAACTATTTGGTGCTTCGATTTTGAATGGAAATGCCATAAATAACTTACCAGGAACTCGCTCTTGGGCATCCAGAGCTGCAGTCAAAAGAGCACACGCGTTTCCAGGACTGAGAGTGGCGGACACGTGTTCCTCGCAACTTCTCCAAAGTTCCTCAACTCCGAGTTCCTGAGCGAGTCCTAGCATCTCGAAAATTCCGCTGTCCTGCATCATGATCTATATGGAAAAGTTACACTGTGAAACTCGGCTGTGCTTTTGGGTCAGTGGGAAACTTTCGTCGGTGGATTCTTATACAAGGTGGACCACACGTTTCTCGTACAAACTTTGCCAGCGTCATTTTACCATGCTTTCTCACGTACTCGGGCGTGTAAATTACAAATTTTAGACAGTCGTTTCGGGGGTCGAAGAGTTTTAGTTAATTAATATTTTTGTTGAATCTAATAGTAATTGGTCCTTACTATTCTATGCAGTCTCTTATCGATTTATAAGTTTTAGAATATATTCGGAGTGTTTTGTATAAAGTGAAATGATTAAATATCTTACGAGGAGACGAAGCTATCGAAGCCTCTACGCTACATATTTTATCTAGTTACCTTGCCGGTGTAAATATATTGGATAAATTGACGAAACGTTTCCGGATGAGCGTGAGGCATACGGACAGGGGTTGGATTTCCAGGTGTACCGATCCTCTTGGCAGCCGTAAAGTTCTTGCACCTGTGGAAATCAGACTCGTGATATCGATTGCTAACGGTCATAATTACCATCGGACGGGGCGGGTCACAATGAAAGAGGAGTAGTAGTTTGAATCACGCTACGCGCACAAATTGTGCCGTGGCTGCGTAGCCCTTCTAACGAACATCCACCGGTTCTCACCACCTTTCGTCGCCACCACTCTACTTCTGGCCGTGTTTCTTGTTACAAAAGGGCTTAATTGACTTCGTCAGGAGGCTCCGTTGCCACGAGAGGTGTTCGTAACGTACACGCGGTCGAGGCTTTAGTTTTTCGTTCCTCTAGAAATTAATGGCGACCTTCGAAAAGTCACTTCGCACCCTTTCTCCCTACGGCGACCCGACAAGGAATACGGGAGAACGAATCTTTTCTGGCACCTCGAACTGGAAGTGAATCCCCCATGACCCATTGGGAGACCATTCGATCTCGGCTTTTCTGTCGTACACCATTTCCCACCTCGCGCGCCACGACTAGATACACAAAAGGAAAGCTTTCAGCATCGACGAGTCTAGAAACGAACGGTGCACCCTTTTCACGGCTTGAATCGCTGGCGCGTACTCTTTTATACGTTTTCGTAGCCGCGGAAACTGTTTCGAAAATACTTTGTATATTAATCGCGAGCACGGGTAGCGTTTGTGTATTTATTTTTATTTCCCGAGTGTTGGGGCGAGTGCAACTAATTTCAACACTGATCCGTTTGTATTTCTTATTTTTCTACGTAAACTGTTTACGAATTTAGATACTCGACTTAGAAAATTGAATAGAGGAAAATAGTACTAGACAGAAAAAAATAGTTTCTCTTTTCACCGAAAACACGAGAAGAGGTCCTTAAGCGGGCCTTTCGCGTATCTACGAAGACACTGACGAGCGAAACAATGGTTTCTAATACCACTGAGCTTTGCGACGCAGAAAGATTTCGCGCGCTGGGAAACGGAGAGACCGCGATGCGAGTCTCATGCGAGAGCAAAGCGTACCAGGGACTCGTATCGAATCAAAAGAAACTCCGTCAAAGAGCGAGCGCAAATGGAAAAGGCATGCACGGGCGTTGCTTTGATATTATAATATAACCGACGCGTTAACAAACGCTCGGCTTCGTCGACAGAAGAGCGCGAAAGTTGGAAAATCGTGGCCGACCCACGAAACATGGTTGCCGAGTCGACAGAGGAAAACTAGTGCTCAAAAAAATTAAAAACACCCCGCGCTGCACAAGGAGAAACGACGTATATAGATATATAACTTTGCGCCGTTGGATCGACTTTTAACGGACGGAAAAGGCTCGACCTTTATGCTTTCCCGTGCAGTTTGGTAACGACGTGGGCTGCGCATGATATCAAAGCGATAGTGCGCGCATTTGTTTCTGCAAATTAGAGGGAAATATTCAAGTATCGAAGGTTCCCCTTCCCAGGCACCCTCGTTGTGATTTCGTTGCAAGTACGTTAAAGTATTTTTCCTATTCGGATGTATTCGATCCCAACATTTAGTTTGGATTTATTGCGAAGAGGACCCATGACTTAGAGTTCAGGTGGTTTTGGTACAGCTTGTTTGGTTTGTAATGATCATTATAATTTCCACTAAGAGTCTTGCGACGTTTGTTCTAAATTCACGAAGATAAAAGACCGATCCGTGGAAGTTTGCAATTTGCAGCGCGATTCCTTCGTTAAAGTGCCTCCAGAATGGTAGGAAAAATTCGCTCGAAAACGTAGGCATCGTCGCCGACACGCATCTCCGTCCGTAATTGCGCACTCGTACGACTATAATATAGATTGGAATCGATCGTGGAATGATCGCGATAATGGACCGCGGTGAGAAAGCAGTCGTTTTACAGCCGCGCGGAAACAAGAAGGCGTGGGCGCGAATTTGACTCCCGTGCACCGGAAGCAGAGGCGGTTTTTGCACGGAAATCGACGGGAGCCGCTATATAATCGCGCGCTTGGTCGTTAGTAGCGGAGCCCGCGGCGACATTCAACCCTTGCCGCCGTGAAACCAACCAGCCACGACCCTCGTTTCCCTGCGCCACTAGGCCCCTACCCCTAACATCCTCTCTCCGCGTCGGGCTCGTGAACCAACGTTACCACCCCCGTGACACCTCGCCGACACACCAGACGCGCGATGCCCTATTCTTTTCTCGGCGTCGCTCGCTGATATTTGGTTTTCTTTGATTCCGCAGCGGTGTTCGCCTGTGATTAGGGAAAAGCTTCTCTCCGTGCCTTCGTTCTCTTTTTTCCCGCCTTTCTGTCCCTCCTTTCTCCCTTCTACGGCTTCCCACGTACCATCTATCGCGACCAAGCATCCGGTGCCTTTATTTTTCCTCCCAATGTTTCCTCCGTTTCTTCCCGCTCAGCGTGGGGTTTTGTGGCTGGAATTGTTTAGTTATGCTTGACAAAGTGAAAAGATCCCCTGATGGCGTGGTCCGAGCATGGCGGCGGTAAAAACGGTCTCAAAAGACCCTGGATGGTAAACAGATATTTCAGTTTTGCTTAGATTGCTACTCGAACTAAACCCGATTCTAAATTCCTTACTATTCGTTTCAATTATATTACTACAAGCCCACTTTCCCGATCTCTTATGACCGCAATTGAAAGACTCTTTAATTAGCAAAGTCAAATAGCGTACAAACCCATTTCGGTTGATAAACGAAGCTCCGCGTCTCACGAGCGACGCGCACGAGCGTCGGTGATCGATTCAACGCGTATCTGGACAGGAACGTCAGGCAAACGCGGGGATTGCGCGTTCAAGTGCCATCGAGTAGTCAAAGCTCGGGGCTTGTTTTTCAATTTCTTTTCTCCCGTTGTCGAGCATCGTTCTCGTCTCCAGTCGCGTTTCGAAATGACAAGGATTACAAGGGAACGCGGCGTGGGAGGGAAACGCGAGGGGGGCGGCCTCGCGACTCTTTGTCAGGATTTTCACCGGACTGGAGAGCACCGCGTAGAGTTCTGAGTGCGGTCGCGTATTGTCCATTCGTTTCTCCCGCGGACGCCTGTCACGAGCATGCGTAACTTAATTTTCCGAGGCCCGGTGTCGGCGAAGCGAGACAGAGAGGAAAAGAGGGGCCGATGACAAAAGAACCGGCGTTTCCCTCCTGCGCCGATATCAAAAGGGGTTTCACAGAAATATCGTAATTGACTTTACAATTAGCATCGGCCTGTCCCGCGGAATGTCGTTGCCTTGGCGCTCGGCACCCCTTAACACCCAACTACCTCTTCCCCTCGGCGTCTTCTTACAACAATTAGAATTCATCCGACAAAAATACGCCCAGAGACGAATCGACCAAGTAGCCACTCTTCCCTTATTGTCGGACTAATTAGAACGTTCGATCGATTCATTTCGCCGTAACGATCCGGCAGCCCCTTAATTAAAATTCATCGCCGTCCGCGAACTTCGTAGCCTGTTCTTTCCTGCGCGAAGGAAGTTCGATGACTTCGAGATTTTTTTTCTGGCCGCCGGTCGTTCGACCAAGAATTTTCCTAGTTCGTCGGATTGGAACATTGTTTCCCGAGAAAAACTCCCTTCGAGATCGCTCGTTCCTTCGTTTCTATCGAGCCCTAAAGCGCTAGCGGAACAGGTGAAACATCTTTTCCTCTTTGTTATACAAATACACCCAATTCGCTACTTGCACTTCTTCCTACCCTCCCTGTGCGTAAAAGATCTCGGAGCTACTCGAATCCTCGTTTCCTTAAGGGTCTCTGGTTGCAAGGAAACCCGTGGTCGCGGAGTCCGTTTCATTACCATTGCAAGAAGCGTCGCGAAGATAGCAGAGCGTAATGTCCCACGTTCCCGCGTTAATTCTCCATTTTCTAGAAGTAGCAGATCTCGTTGTCCTGGCCACGCCGCGAAACGTATTTATTTTTCACGAGGGTGTGCACGTATCTCGCCCTTTTTAACCCGTGGATACGAGTGCGCGAGTTTCCCGACGTTCTTCTCCCGCGTGATTTCTCGTTCGTATATCCAGGATCGTTTACGGTCTCCGAGGAAATCCGACTCGTTGCGGATCGATCGATGTGTCGACGAGCTGGTTTAATAAAAATTACGATTAACAATTAATTCGGTCCCACGTGGCACAGTGGTTCGTTTAATAAAATTTCTGGCTCGACTGGCTCTGATCGCGGGGACGCGTCGGAGTTGTTCACGTCCCTGGAGATGTCGGAGGATATCAGGAGGAAGGGCAGAATAGTATAAATTGTCTCATTGTGAGCGTCGAGGAGCAATTGGACACGATATTTAGATCTTCTATGGTTCGAAGAATTAGAATTTCGATGATTCGATATCGATTTCGAATGATTCAACCGTGAACTGAATTCGAATTAGAGAATACTGACCTCGCTTGGAGTATGATTCTGTGAGCGTACACTGGCACCTCATCCCGGCCTAGCAAAAAGATAATATCTGCTGTGTCTTTGTCTTCCGAGAGTCGGGCGAGGTCCTCCAGAAGTCTGGGTACACCGGCTAGACCAGCCTCGCCGGACACCCCTGCCGCCCCCGGTGTTGCCCCCACAGAGACAGCTCTGGTTGCCATGATGCTCGAGTCCAAGAATCACCGACTACAAAGGAAGCAAGAAATTAGTTAAACGTGTAGTAACGCTACGAGGAAAGACTAGGATCTTCCAAACACATCCTGATTAAGAAACCTATCGCTATAATGATAGTTTACGTTCACTTTCTTAAATGGAAAGGAGGACATTCAAAACAACCTCCAAAGTTGAGGCTCTTCTAAACATCCTCTCTCGCAGCTAATAATTAAATAAAAAAGAAGAGATATCGAATTGACAAATCAACTTGCACGCGATTTTCTTATTCTAATCGCCAGACCGCTCGCCGGTTTGTCGAATCCAAGCAATCCGCGGTTAATTCGAAATTAATGGGAATAAACGCGATGACAGCGTGTCATTCGCCCCCGAACATTTTCCAGTCGCATCCTGTGCGCGGTCGACGCGAGGAAAAAAAGCAAAACCGATTAACGTACAATCGGCGCTAATTGCGCGATTAATATTTGATTTGCACCGCGTCGCGACGCAACCCGCCTCTCTGCCCCCCTGACTCTCATCGCGGCTGGTCGATCGACGCGGAGATTTTGTGTCACGGCGGCTGGCTGATTCCCTTTTAATTAGTTCGGGTTTTGTAGTTTTCGAACGCGTCACGCCTCGATTGTGCCCGCGTATCGTCGAAGCGGCGCAGAACGGGGCGAGGGGGAGAGGCTGGGAGAATCCCGATTGCCGGTCATTTGCTCTCCCTGAATTTTCTCGCTTCGTCGCATCTCGCATTCCAAAGCCGCGATTCGATCAAATAACCATTCGTCGTCCGTAGGTTTTGTTTACTCCCGGTCGAGCAAGTCGCGTGGCGTAAAAAATTTGTTAACGGCCGCGAATTTCCTGGCTGGCTCCGATTCGACGCGTTCGCCATCGTTTTGCGCGAAACGTTTTTAATCCAGCAAACATCAGAGTTTCGATAGTCACAGGAGGAGATAATACTTATTTAAAATAAATTATCGAAGCACTCCAATCGTTGAACCATCAAATATTAATTTTACAAGAACTATTTAAATGTGTTTGATACGAAGCTTTTCAATTAATAAAAAAGGTATATTAATGCATCAACTTACAAAGTTGCAAGAGAAAGTTTCTCCCTTCAAAACCCAAATAGGGATTCTACCACTCGAAACGTCGTTTTTAAAACGATAAATTGTTTGAAATACTTCAATACCATCGAATTCCAATGGTTTGTACTCTCAACAGGTCCACTCGATTCAAAAAGAGCAAATAGAATTATTCTTTTTAATTGTATATCATTTAAACCCCTTAATGCCGTGAATTCTGGCGTCGGTATTAAAATCGTTGAATTACACTCTCGTTACGTATTTCGCACGGAGAGATTGCCGCAAACTCGTTCACAAATCGCGCACGAACTGCTCTGCGGTCGGTAGCGGTTGTTTGTTTTGAATTCGCCAGCTCGATCGGCTCCCGCCGCGTTCAATATCGTCCGAATAAATAAATATGTACGCGTCTGTGCACGCGCGAAAATTCCGCCAACGACTGGTCCTCTTCGTCGTCAGGTCTCGCAATGTCATTCGCCCCAGGCTCTTGCGTCAACATCTTCGACCCCAAGAAAACCCGACACTGTTGGATAAATTCACCAAGACTCGTCAAATATTCTCGCTGTTACTATTTGGAAGTTGTAAAAAAAATATTTAGAGGCTAGAAACAAGGATTTAATTTAAATTTTACGGTTCGAAAATCGAAATTTTGATAGTACGATTCTTCTGATACATCACTCCTGAGATTTAGAGCAAAGCAGTCACAGACATACACGCATCTGTACGTAACATAATTTTGCAACCGGTTTTCGGCTAGTTAGATTTATGGCGAGGTAGTTCAACCCACAATTGCGTAAATTTGATTCTGGTTCGAATGCTGCACGAATTATTTAGTACCCGAACTGAACAATAAGTGGATAGTGGTGCGCTGCAGCACAGTGGCTGAATGGCACATTCTGGGGAAAACAACCGACCAATCGTTTGCCACTTCGACTACGCACTGATTCACCGAACGCCATAGAAACCCTCCACACTACGTATTCGCGACGCTCTTACCAACGAACTTACGTCACAGCACTGCCTTCGTAGCGAACCTTCGGAGGCCAAGCTAATTAACTCCTTGAAATCAAAAGTGCACAAGAGCGACGTCACAAACTACAGGTGAAATAAAACAATTTACGAAAAGTGGAGTCGATGAGAGGTCCTCGAAACGTAATCCAGATTCGTCGCATCCTAATCGAAGCGTTCCAGTCAGTTCAACGGGAACAGAGGTTCGCTGCACCCGATCTGCTACGTAGAAACGCGAAATCACGGCTTTGAGGATTCTCACCTTGGTGGTTGGTGCACGAGAACGAGCGGTGGGATGTTTCGAGGTAGAACACTAAGCGAGCCGGTATTTCCGTGGTACACGTGGACGAATATTATCCTCGCGCGCGAAACACTGCATTTTCAGTCGATCCACGCCGTCTCACACTCCCGAGGGGCGAAACATTGTTCCCCGAAAAAGTTTCTCGTGCACGGTTCTTCTTCTGCCCTGCGGGTTCCCGTTGTTCTACAACACAAACGTACTCCCGCGAGATCCACCGCGAGCACACATGGAGAAATGCAACGAAAGTGGAGGTGGGAAGGCTCCGTTTCGGCCGGAAGTTTCCTCAAGTTCAACGCTGCGAGGTATTTCTCGAGCACGAGACGAGTTTTACGAGCGCTGGACCAGGCCTGGCCTCTGTCCCGCCGCCGCCACCTTCGCGTCTCCTCTCGTTCTCTTTTGCGTTCAGGTGTGCTCTCACCTCTTTCCACGTAGACGGGACACCCCCCTCTCCTCCCGATTCCCGCGTGGCCAATGCTCCTGCAAGATCACTCCTCCTCCAAGCCCGTGTTGCCAGATCCTCTCTGGAGCACCGATCCGCCGCGGGATCGGCACGGCGCTGCCTTCTTCCAGCTACGCCGAGGACCTTTGGAGATCCTCCATGGATGAGAGATTGAATAGGATGATTAGATTTTTTCGGAAAGATTGTCTAATTATTTGTCAAAATTTTGGAGAGAAGATGATCTATAGGTCGTCGATGACTCGTTTATTTAAATACCCACGCAGACTCACTGTTCAAATTTTGTAGAGTACCACGTTTTCGTACTCTCTGAATGAACTATTAACAGCATGAAAGCAAAAATTACGAACGAATAGGAGGATTTGCCACGCACCGCGAGCATCGAACATCGTAAGCTCCTCGCTGGAGCACCGAATCGTCCAAGTTGGCTTACGGTCGCCTCGATCCCAGTTTTTTCGCGTGTCTTCTCGTCGAGTTCGGCGCTGTTTATCCGCATTCCTCCCTTTGTTCCTCTTAAATCGTACCAAAGGCAAGACCCTCCTAGCTCTCGTTGCATCTCTCCCGATTGTGCTCTTGTTTCCGAGACGGGTTCGCCCGTGGTTTTGCTCGGTCGCGCGATATTGCCGCAATGCGGTGCTTCCTAGTTTTCTCGACAAAATGAGATCGTCCTTTTATTTGCGTCGCTGTGCAGCCTCAGCCCATCCTTTGCCTCCCCAGATCCGCCCGTGATTCCCCAGGTTCTCGGGGAGATCAAGTTGCGATTTAGACGCTTCGACTCGAGTTTCCGTTCCTGGCCCTGGCAGCGCGTGTTTTCGGTTCAATTTCGCGTTGATAGCAATATCGTGTTCCTGCGCTCGACGAGGAAACAACGAGAACGATGCGCTTTAGGGGAGTATTTCCTACGGCAAGCGGGAAATAAAGGTGTTCCATGGGAGTGATTTGCAAGAAAAATACGCGGAAGGCGAATTTGATAAGTTTAAAGGGGTTAGCCGAGCATCGGAGTTTTGAAAATCGACCTATCTTTAGAAAACTAGTTCTCATCAACTAGTAATAACTAAATTTCGTCGAGGATATTTTCTATTCAAGGTACGCAATTACCTCGGAATTTGACGCGGGTCTGTGGAATTTGTAATGTTGTTTCCCACTGCTGTTCCTACGGGATGAGCTGTAGCTTTCTATGTTTCTCATTTAACTTCCTCCGCATTGTATCGCGAGTCACCCAATGAGAACGATAAACTACAGGTACCAAGTTGGAAATGACTTTAGGAAATGTATCGATCCACGGTACAGTATCGTCGATTTCGCGTAGCGTAGAACCGATCGATGGTAAGGCAGAAGCGTTGCTCTGTGGGTGCACATGTATCGATCGTTGATCTAGCGATCACGGTATAGATCGAATACTGAAAACGTCGATATTTGCTTGTCGATATAATGAAATTAAATTTCCTCATTGTATTATTTAGGAGATAATTAATTAAGAAAATATTAATATAGTTTTTCATTAGTTTACATTCTCGGTATCGTAAATAAACAGAATGTATCCAATGCGTTAAGTTCACAATTTTGTCCCGCTTTTTTTCACGATTTACCTTCCTTTTCAAATTTATTTCGAAAAATTCCTCTCGTTCGTGGATTCCACGACACCTTCGCTTTGTTTTCAGGGGAATGTTTCGCAACAGTGGTCGCGAAAATTCGCTGTTACCGCGGATCGTACACAATTCCGTGTAATACCATGCACATTAACGCGCGAAGTGTCTTCTCACGGGCGATGGGGCGCGTGTTTCCCTGCCGTTAATATACCCGCCAGTTTTTTCCAGCGTTGAAATGGAATCTCGGCTGAGCGGCAATAATCGGCGAAAGATCACTTAATGGCCCTACGGTGTAAGAGCCAGCCGTCGTTCGCACCTCCGCGAAATTTGCTGCAACCGCCTAACGAAATTGCCGCATTACGTCGTTTAACGTCCTCGGAAATACGGCGCATTGGGGCCGGGAAGAGAATAAAAGTTATAGGAAGAACAGTACCGCGATGAAAAGTGACGAGAACAGGGATGGGAAAATTGCACGGGACGTCCGCGACGATGGAACGATCCGACGCCGTGCCATAATATACATTTCGTCTGATAAACAACTGACTCTGTGAAATACGAAACAATGGTCGTATTGGCATCGATCTTTCTCTTCGTTTGAAATATGACCCTGGTCGTTGTCGAAGTGGTTCGCATTTATAAAATTGAGAATGAGATGGACTGTGAAGATAATAACAGCATTTATTTTCAATTATTGTTGATAAGTGACTCACGTATCAGCTGTGACACTTGGAGAACATTGTAACTGATTAACGATATAAAATGGATCTATAGTGCATACAACACTTTTTGTCTAAATTTATGCACGATAACAGAGATTGAGTCTAGTTATTTATCAGACTGCGTACACCTGGGGAAGGTGTCGAAGAGTGCGAACAAGCTGGTTTGGTGATCGCGGTGCATAATAGATTGCGTCGTAGCGCAAACAGGAACAAATTCCTCGGTGTACTCGTTTCAACAATTGAATCGGTAATCAAGCCGGTCTCGATAATCGAATCAGCCCGGGTACACGCGTAATTGAAATTTCCCAGTCGACCACTGCAAATATTCCTCCCCTCCTGTCCCTTCGCTCCGTCGCCTGCCCTCGCGAAATTGCCTTCGCGAGTTTTCAGTCGAGACCACGTCGAAAATGTTGCCTCTGCGATCTTGCAAATTGTCGCTCGACGATAGAAATGAAAAGTCGAGAAAAAGTTGGATCGGCGTCATTTAGATGATCGATAGCGACGTCGATGGCACGCTGCGCATCGTTTTATGGTATAATTCGGCGCGACGCTGTTCGCCACGTGAAATCGTATTTTCAGCTTCAAAATGTCCTCGCGTCTGAGATGTCAAAAACAGACACGGTTCCTGTCTGGTAGTCGAGGGGAATCGGTACTTCGACGTCCAGAGACGAATTTCTTGAGATCCCGGGAGTGAGAAGATGACTCAAGGGATGTTTCATTTTTATGAATTCGAAATGTATAATACTAGTCGCGGGCATTATTATACTTTCTTGGTGATATCCTCGAGCAAAACATATTTTACTTATGTTGCCTGTCGTTGGCTTCTAAGAAAAAAAATAATGTGGTTTCTAAATAAATCATCTCTACGCACAAACTAGCCTCAAAAATCTACATTCTAGAGATTCTTGATCTAATCGTGTCTCCATACATCGAACCCTCGTCTGAGGAAATTTTGTTCCTCCCCGTTGGCTTGCTTCCCGCGACGCATCGATCCCTCGACGATAACGGAGCCGTGATATGTGCGCGTAGCTAAAAGAAAACGAAAATTAATTATCACAGGACAAAATGGGCACTTAATTAACGCGGCTGACCGGATCAGATGTTCTTATTCGCGCAGCGGTGTCACAGACGAAAGAGTTTTCTTGCCGAGCGAGCCTCATTTCGCTAACCGTGAATAAAGGGTCTCGGATGAAGGAGACGCGAACCCATCCCCCTCACCGCTGTTTCGCGTAAATTGACCCTGACGGTGGAAGCATTTCTGTAAACTACTTTCATTCCGTCCCCCTTTTGTACCCCTTCGCCAAGGCTCCAACTGAAAAGGTTCCGCGGATCTATGGAAAATGCACGGTTGGCGAGTCGCTGGTAAGTAAATTGACGCCGCGATTCAATATCAATTGTAAACAGTAATTATTAGCAACGCCATTGTCGCTGACCAGGGACCTGCCTGTTAAGGATTATTAAGTCGCTCCGGCGGATCCAAGATCGTATTCCACGGTTCAAGAAATAGCCCCTCGCCCCAACGATGACGGATAATAGAGACGGATAGTCGATCGGTATTATACAGAACTATAGAAATCTACTACACAGACAGATGTTTCACGTTTCTGATACTCAGTACTGACGAAAATATTAAAAGTTTGAAGCTGGACATCGCAAATTTGTATCGCCAGGGCGAAGATCAAAATTACAAACTTTTCATTTCAATTTCCCAAGCTCGAACGCAATACGTCGATTTCTTAGAAAACTACTCCTAATTTGTTATCCTACTAAAATCTTATTAAATCTCTCCGCCTCGAACGTGCATCACTTCGTCACATGTATCATATTCACCACCAAGGTCTACG